TTATTTCATTTCTTTATCTCCTCCTCTTTACGTTCGTAATCATATAGAATCAAGTTAAAAGAAATGCAAACCTATATGAAACAAAATTATGAAATTGATTCTGTTTATTTATTTTAAAAATTTTCTATAAACTCTCAATACACTTTCGTTTACTCATCGTTTTCACGAGATGTATATATGTTTGCCGGATTTTACGCCAGTCATCTTCTTTAAACATTGCGATTGCTGTACAGTCAAGCAGCCATTGCACTTTACATATTAAATTACATCTATAACATCAGCTCAGATCTTTTGATACGTCTAAAAGTAAAAAATTGATCGTTTAGTACATATTCATCTCCGAGCGCGTGATTCAACGAGTACAATCACGAACGGATCATCGTATCTCAAGATTCGAGAGGGAACACCCTCGGAGAAAAGTCCGTCCGCAGAATCCGAACACCGAAAAAATTGTATTTTTAGCGCCAAGAGGATCCTCTTAATTTAAGAAATTTCTCTAAATTTTAGTATATTTTTTTTCTAAAAATAAGAATAAATTAAGAATATCATCTTAAATTAAGAGAATCCTTTTGGCGCTATTTTTCGGTGAAGGGATTCGCTCGACTTTTTCGTGATCGCCCGCGACTTTCGATTTCGTCTGCGCGCGCGAACGCGTCGGGGAAGGACGGATGCGAGAGAAAAGGGAAGAGAAAAATAAGGACGAGGTGGACCCGGAAGGGCCATCTCATCTTCCGCGAATTTGCCGGGCCACTGACTTCTTCGTCCATTGCATAACGTTCCTCCTGTATATCGGGAGACGAGCCGATCGATCGAGAGCCGGATGAGAGCCACTGGATCGTGGTGTACCGGTTGTTCCACTCGTGGAATGCGGCTTGTCACGTTGTGTGCGTGTTCGCATCTCTGTGTGTGTCTGTGTGTGTGTGTGTGTGTGTCGCGCACACATACGCAGTGCTGTAAGTGACACCGGCGGCGCCCGCGCTTAAATTACCCGTTCGAATTTCTTTTAATCCATTAAAAATATGTCCGATGCCTCCTCTTTGGAATTCGCAATAATTTCGTTACGAGGGATTTTTTTGGTAATAATTTTGCTAGCCGCTAGCTCTATTTTGAAATGACGTAAGAATGCATTTGGAGCCAGTTTCCTATGGTACGTTCCTGGTATATATGCACTTACATAGACGCATGTAGACGTGCAGACGAGCGAAAGGGATGACTATATGCATGCACGTGTGCGTCTTTAACGTGTGCCGCGGACACAAATATTGTTATTATTATTTACGAGTGAAGGTGCATTTCTGCGCGCACGTCGCTGTGCGACGCCCGATGTACTTATGTTAAGGAAGCATTGTTTGTATTTCATTGCCTATGCGCCCTTGCGTAACTGCAATACCGCAGCCACCGCTGTACCAACCAGTACGATTCTTAATTTTAAATAATAAAGCATACTTTGTCAATGAATGAGAATATCGAGACGAATTTTCGATAGAGTATTTTAGGAAAATCAAACGGGGTCGACCGGGGTCAACAGATAGGAAGATTTAATAAAACATTCGATCAAAAGCATATAAAAAAAAAAGAAAGCCATTTACATATTTGAATAATAATTTTAGCAATAGCAATTATATTGTTGTTTTTAAACGTCGCTTAAGCGACAAATAAATTTATTTGTCCAGAAGTAAAATAAAATTTGAACGAAATTTCTATTATATAGATGCAAATAAAATTTTCAGAAACCTAGAAGCGTTATCAGTAAAAGTCAAGTGCAATTTTCTGACTTTTCTAGATATACGGAATAAAAAAAGGACAGAATATAGAATCTATTAAAAATTATTGCAAAAGTTTGCAACGTGTAAAGATGCAAAGTATGCAATTACAAATTGCAAATAGGAAATTTAATTAACTGTTAGAAAGATTAAAAAATATAATACGAAACGATCTTGAATTAAAGGAAACAATTTTCATAGAATTTTTTCACGATTCCAACCTTTTTGCATGCATTATTAATCCGATATTAGTGATCTGATTGCGACGCTTCGATTATATACATATATCGCTTACGTGAATTTTCCGGTGCGCATTAATCAACGGTGATGTCGCAATTCTGGATTTTTTTTACCCGTCTATGTCGCGCGCGAATATTCCCTTGATAAACACATTAACTCTATGCCGGTAATCGACGATGGAAATTAAATCTTATGTTCCAGTTATAAATCACTCGGGTAACGTGTCCTCGGGCGCTAAATAAAGGAAGCGATTATTCATCCGATCACAGACTCGAGTAAGAGGTATCGACTGCGGCGTTATAATCGATGAATCGCGCATATGGAATATTCGCGAAAGCGTCTTGCGTGTGCTCTAATTAATTTCCCTAAGATTATCACATTATTTAGCATTACATCATTCGTATTCGTTCATTAATATGTATATCAGAATTGTTGATTATAGTATGCGGTCGATTTTTTCTTTTACGTGGAAATTTTTACATTTTAGATGCAATGTAAAAGTATTAGAAATTTTACAGTTTTCTAAAGATTTGTCATTTTTATACTTATATAGTTAATGTTTTATATAATTTTATTAATAAATATTTTTTGCTTACTTTTAATTTTCTATGTTCCACTGAATAAAAAAATCTGATTTCTAATGTTTGTTTTGTCGTATGTTAAGATCAATTTTTTCTGCGTTAATTTTTATACGAAAATACGATAGGTAAGCGTATGATGACAGAGTTATTTATACGTAGCTGCTTACAAACAATCGAAGGAAGTCTCTCATAAATATTACAGTAGCAAGTCCCGACAGTCGGTTGCGACCACTGTATGCAAATTCAATCGCTGCATCGTTCTGTTGTTTATCTTTTTGCTGTCGAGTTTTATTCGAACACCCGATATAAGCAATTCTTGCACAAACCAAAATCTCTTCGACATATTCTGCAATATAGGTATAAAATGCTTCTTTTCACATTTTTCTTTTTTATTAAATGTTGATTTATTGAAACAATAACAGTGTACGAAATTATACATAGAAAATAATTAACATAAAATCTAAATAAAAGCAACTAGCTTCACCAGGTGCACGAGCAAGGAAGCGACATAAAACGAAGAATTTCAACGATTCGCCCAGGATGAGCTTAAGAGATAGTTGAATAAAAGAGATAAGCATTCGAGTGCAGTTTGTGACTTTTGACTCGCCAGCATTTCGACATATTTATGATTTCCTTAAATTTCCTTTCCGGTCAAAATTCATAAGGCAGAATAAAAATTTAATTAGCATATTTACATACGCAAAAGGAAGTTTGAATTATAAATGAGTTTTGTTCCCAAATATTCTTCTTGCCTGTGAATTTTGTCTATTCTTTTGTTTTAAGATCTTTACTATTTGAAAAAATATCTACATTTATTTTTATATCAGATTTTTTAAATATTAAAAATTAAAAAATATTAAAAATTGTATGTGAAATAAAATAAAATGTGAATATATAGATTTTTCCATTTAAATATATATTATACATATATTATATAAAAATACGTTGACTACAAAGTAGAAAGAAATATATTGCATATGTTTAAAATTACTTAAACTATAAATCTCTAACTATAACAATAAAAAACTGGATTTGTAAAATATTCATATGATGATTACAATTGAATATTTAATAATTTAACTGCGCGATATAAGATAAGCCAAAATGCGTATACAAGATACGTTATAGTCGAAAAGAAATGCAATATTGAGACATTGGTTGTAAATTAAGTAATTAAAATGTTAAACTGACCTTTCTTCGGAAAATTATCAACGAAAATTATCTGAATGAAAAGTTGTCAATGAACGCGTTGGATTTTCCACCTGTCAAAATTGTTAGAGCAGCTGTATCATTTTTTAGAGAGATATACAATTCTATTATAAATATGTAATCTTTTTAAAAGGTCATCAAAATAGTTAATTTTTCAAGTCATGTCGAATAAAATAAACTAAAATAATATATAAATGTCAAGCTAAAAAAGATATGCTTGGTTCTGAAGCAAATAATCAACGATAAGTATACGATATACATGCGCACATGTCAAGCAGATTCATTGCCGACATTTATCTTTTGTAACCATTGGGTGATAACCAAATTTAAGATAAATCATATACACGATCTCACTTATAGCTTCCTCGTTCATGTGATTTTCGTAATTGCGACATTCAACTACTGAGTTATATACAAATTTTCTACATTATACATTATAATTTTTTGCGATATATGATAGCACAAAAAAATATTTCTGATAATAGAAAAAAAAGCATATCGCATACAGTGACAAATTAGATCACTTACTCTTTATTAACGATCTATTTTACATTGTAAAAGTCTATATATACACAGAGAGAATTTTCTCTTAGAATTTACCTTGAAAATCGTGGTAATTGAAAGACAATATTGAAAGAATTTTATAAGAGTTTCTTTGATTAATATTTACCACGATAAAAATATTCATATCTACACAGAGAGAATTTTCTCTTAGAATTTACTCTGAAAGTCATGGTAATTGTAAGATAATATGATATTGAAAGAATTTTATAAGAGTTTCTCTAATTAATATTTACCACAATAAAATATTAATATCTACCACAATAAGATATAAAATATATTCACCCCTGTGTTCAATTGTAATATATTCGATTAATTGTACTATGTACATAGTAAAATTTACTATATATGCACATATTAATTATTTTATTGTAGTAAATAAATATTAATCAGAGAAACTCTTATAAGATTCTTCCAAACCGTCCCACGATTTTCAGGGTAAATTCTAAGAGAAAATATATTCGATTAATTTTATTATGTATATACATATAGTCAAATTGACTATGTACATATCAATATTTTCGATTGTGGTAAATATTAATGAGAGAAACTCTCATAAAATTCTTTCAACAGCACATATTGTTTCATGTGTAATTCTCCTAAATCTGTACTGTTTCTAACTGCCACGACGTGTTTATTGTTTCAGCACCATCCTGGTGAACACGTGGTAGCGAGAAGGCGGAAGTACCTATTGACCATGGCGGCGGGAACGTGCCAATTCGCCTGAAGAGACAGACATCCGCAGAAATCCGTAAGGTAAGTGCCTTCCGATTTTTCTCGTACACGCGCACATACTTCGAGCCACCGCAACTCGCGAGGTCGGACTCTCGCGTTCATTATTAAGATTTCAAGAGATACGGGAAATAAATTAAGCGGATAAGAGAGCGGACGGAAACCGGTGAAACGGGCTCCGAGATAAATCGCGTGACGGAAGACGAAGACCTATACGAGAGATAAGGGGGCGAGAGAAGGCAGGGGCGAAAGCAGGTCGCGTTTTTCAGGATCGCCTGGCGAGTCAGACTCGCTTCTATCCCAGCCGATAGTCTCCAATAGCGAATGAAGATAAGCGCAGTGGTGCCTTCGTGAAGACACCGACCTCGACCAAAGAGAGAGAGAGATGCATACTCGCCTTCCGCGATTAAGATGTGCGACGAGACACCCATGAATTTCAGTCCGATACATATCTAATTCAGTATTGTCGATAATCTGCTCGCTCTTTTTTCGCGAGGAACGCATCAGCTCTGCGTCGAATGGAGACATTAACTCGAAGATTCAATCTTGGAAAAAGAGATATGTTAATGACACAAAACCACAGTTACTTTCTATATAAAAGAATATTTAATTTTTCTAATAAAAAAGCATGTGAAAGACGCTTCTCACAGAGAGAATTTTCTCGTGAAATTTATCCTGAAAATCATGGTAATCTAAGACAATATAATATTGAAAGAATTTTATAAGAGTTTTTCTTATTAATATTTACCACAATAAAAATATTAATATTTATTACAATAAGATATAAAATATGTTTGATTAATTTTACTATGTACATATTTTAATATTTTTTATTGTGGTAAATATTAATCAGAGAAACTCCTGTAAGATTCTTCCAATACCATATTGTCTCACGATTACCATGATTTTCAAGGTAAATTCTAAGAGAAAAATTTCTCCGTGCAGTAGGTATATTTTTTCATTTTTATGAGAGATAAAAGAAAGGATTGCTCGGATTAGATTTTCGACAGCAATTATTTCACAATTAATGATTTTTTCTTAAATTTTACGTTCTTCAAATAATACAGAGATCTTAAATACTATATTAATATTCATGTTTATTATTATATTAGCACTCGTATTGTGAATAGGAATATCGATAACGAATGTTACTGCTTATTCGAGTTCCTTGGTTTTAAGTTTTAAATTCGCGCGAGTGCATTCGATGAAAATATCGTGATATAAGATCGTCATATTTAATTTCGGTAGCCGTATACCTTTCCACCGAAATTTAAGTGTGTGAGCAACTTTCACGACGGAAATCTCGCACTTTATTGCAATACTTAACATGTCTATATTCTTGTAACGACGATGATTAGCGAGCACAAAGTCTGGCAGACTGCGTCGAAGCTATAAAAATAAAAGAAAAAAGTTATCTTTCGCAGCTTCAATATATATTGCGGAGCTGCCGGATCTATCAGTATTATAAAGCTTTGTCGTTATATACATATACGAATGTACATGTGAGTAATAATTGATCATTATATCTTGACATTCGCATACGGCATGAGAAATTACGTCGATGCAGTCCTTTGTTGAATTCACGCGAAACACGAGTAAAGCTGATAATTTACATATTAAATTAAGCAAGAGAATGTTTTTTTCAGATAGATACATGCTTTGAAAAGATAAATTGCATTCAATCGAATAAATATTTATGTTGCCATTCTCGAGAACAAATAATATTAGTTAAAATAACATATAGTTTATTATACATTTTATTTGTATATATTTATAAAATTTGTTAAATAAATTGATTCTTTAATTTTCACTTCGATCTAAAGACGAAATTTATAATTTTTTAAAATGAGAAATTCGACGATATACTTTCATATACAAATAATTAATAAAACTCGCGCTCTATTAATGAACTATATAAAATTATGATTACTGTTACATTAATATCAACACGAATATAATCTACTTATTTGAATGCGTTTGAGATCTATTTAATCTAGCACGATATAAAAATTTCAAAAGGGCTTTTTGGGTGTACCTCCGTGGTCCTTTGACCATCGACCATCGAGGGTATATAACCTTCCACGGTATGCACGGGCCTCGTTTATCGCGAGGCCGTAACTTATGCGTCACCCGTTATCTGGGCGCGCTTATTATGCATGTTATCGTCTCCCCCTTCGACGAGGGGAAAGCCATAAATTTAATAGTCCCCGGTGTGTGGAGGAGGCCTTCTCCTTCGGTATGAAAATCCGGATCGACCCTTCGGGACTCGATTCCTGGCTCGCTCGCTTTTCTCTCTCTTGGATTTCATAATAATTTCCAAACTCATGTATTTGATACATATAAATATCTGTCAATATTTATGCAAAAGTACGTGCTTTTCCAAAAAAGTATGTGCATTTACTTAGTCACGATGTGAATTTCTTTAATTTTTTTATTCGATGCTTTTTATTTTTTCATATAAATATTTTCGAGATGTGTACTTTGCCTGGATATATTAATTTAATTTAACATGGAATTAATTTATTATGGCTGCTGAAAATAATTATCATGTAAAAAAATAAATTTCTCACGAAGATGTTTCAAGCTACAGCTTTGTCAGCAAAACTATAGTTATCATACTTTATTATTTGTATCGGGAGAGCAGTTGCAGCCTCCGCCAGACAGTGGAAAATTTCGCATTCATCGCAACTCGTATTGTGAAATGAAAAACAGATAAATTGTTCCGAGCGGCAGAGGCGCTCTGTGTTTACGCGGAACGTAAGGAACAAAATAAGAAATCGACTGAGAAATCAAATCGTCCGTCCTGATAACGACGACGCCAGGCAACGAGTCCAACGTCTCATCTGTCAGATCGTCTTATCGGAATTCTCGTTGACGGAATTCGCAACTGTTGCGAGTGCGATGGCGGCCGATTTTTCACCGACGCAATTCCGGTTCGGTAATCGCGATTTTCCTATTTTTAATGTTCGTTTTATATTTGATGCGTTTCGCTCTATTTCTCAGTCAAATAAACTTGAAGTTATATGTAAACAGTTTTAATGAAAGATGTATACATTAGTATCACATGATGTATGATGACTTAATTTCTATAAAATATCCCAGATCTGAAATGAATTCTTTCGAACACGGTTTTTTTGACGAATATATTATTGTGATCTTTCTACAGAAAATTCAACGAAATTGATATTTTTAGAAAACTATTAGGTACTAGCAATTTTTTAAATTTTTACATTAAGTATTTCAGCAAATTTCAGATTAATTTCACATTAAGAAAAATTATGGTAGACTCAATTGAAATTAGCTGAGAAAGTTTGATTTTTTTATCACATATACATATACCGAGCTTTTTTCTAGATTTTATAAGTTTTCTACACATATTGTATTTTATAAAGATATATCAATTTAAGCAAAATTTTTTTATTACACACAAAAATAACACGATATCAATAATAAAACGATATAATACAAAATTTAGACATTTTTCAAAAATTGAATAACTTTAGATGTGCACGCATGTAAATAAATAAATAAATATACATATATATATATATATATATATATATAATAGGTACAATTCGTAACAATTTTAAATATTGACAATTTAATATGAAATATTTTAATTAATATTGTAATTATTAAAATATTGTATTAAAAATTAAAATATAAAAATATTAAAACACAAGGTGGAATGGACTTAATTGAAATAACTGGCTATAGATGAAAAATTCTTTTATTACAAAAGAAGCCACGTTTTGACCCTTAATTGGGTTCTCTTCAGGCTGTTCTTTAAAATACAGAGATAAAACTACAAATTCATGATGTCAGTTTTTGGTATGAGATCGGAATGTACCGACTTAACAGTAATATGTGAAAAAACAAAGGAAAGTAGTGTTCACTTTGAAAAGAATCTTAGAAACTTTTCTAAAAATATTAAAATTAACAGTGTTTAAAAATTGAAGAAAAGCTAAAAAGAAATTGAACATTTATAAATGAAAGACATTACGATATCGTCTGGAATATTCTAAAAAGATAAAACGCTAAAGGTTGTTTTTACGAGTTATCTATGTCATAAATCGATGCTGATTGGCCAATAAAACCGTGACAGCCACACGATTGGCCGTGGCGTCGCCCACGTGCGTTGATAATGAACACGTGCGTTTTTCTAATTACCTATGTACAAATTGAACTCGTTTAATATATCCTCCTCATCTTCCTTCATCGTCTGCGTGGCGCAAACGATTTGCTACATGAATTAGACTTTAAACATAAATGATCTTGAGCCATGTCTTATGAAAATTATCATTTTTTTCAATCAATAATTTTATTTATATATTATTGATATTTTTAAAATATTTTTCTCGCGATTTTATTATAAGAAATATATATTAGAAATATATAAAATAAGAAATCTATAAAAATTAATACATAATATAATTAACGATACACAAAATAAAAAACTTACAAAATATTTTAGTACGCATATGAAGAATTAATATATTATGCCAATTTTTTATTCATACTTTTGGTCGTTTGAACAAATCAACCGCATTGATCCTGCATAGGAACCGTTCTCCATCACGAGAGAAGGAATGCAAGTGGTCAATAAACGTAAGAAAGACAGGGGCCCATTGATTCTGAGACATGTGCCCACCGACGAAAAAGAGAGTTTGCCGGATCGACGCCAGGTCGAACGGATGAAGGCATTTATTGTCAATTGTTCTTTCACAGTAAACTGAGAGATAAAAACACAACGAGCGATTTCCGTCCATCGAATACTGGCGAACGACGCAAGGTTTCTTGTGCAGTTTCTAGCGCGAATGAATTTTTCAATCATTTGATTAATCGAGATTTAAACATGAAATACGTAATTGTATGATATTATAATATCTGTAATCGTTAATATGTTATGTCATATATAAATTAACGAAATCAGGAAACAATATGTAATCTAAATTAAGTAGAAGCGGTTATAACTTTATATACATATATAATATACATATATAATATTTTAATTTAATATATAT